CATTTAAAATTATTACTCAGTATACACACACACACGCACATATAATGAAGTTATGTCGGTCCCGAAATAGCAAAATAATAATTATTAATTGTCTTTGTTTTAATAAATATGTATATCTCAAAAGGTTATTTATATATTACATAAAAATAAAGTCGATGAGAATCCTATTTAGATTAACGTGTCCGGTCATATAATGATCACTTGTTGCTTAGTTTTTATAAACATAAGTTCAAAGTGACGTGTAAAGATTTTTTTTAGGAAATTGAAAGAGATTTTAGAAGGTACGGAATAGCTCAATTAAATAAACTTTGTTTTTAGGGTACAAAGGTAATATTCAAGAATAGTAACAAAGAATGGTTATGAGGTATAGGTAAGTACTTTGCTACGGACTTGAACACACAGATGCAGGATTGGGGTATTATAAAAAAAGACTTACTTTGAGTTTGACCAAACTCGCAATTATAATGATTAGCGCCACAGCGAGGTACATGCACCTTTTTTTATGAACGATATGAGAATGATCCGGGTCTACGCGATGATGCTCACCAGTTGGTGGTCGCGAAGTAAAGTGATTCGTTTTGTCGGAGGGTCCTATGGATCGATGGTGGCACGCATGCGCTCTGCTGTAACGATTTACCGCTGCGCTCTGCTGTAACGATTTCTCCTGTTACGAAAATGAGTTAAGGAAATGGGTGTCTAACTCACAAGCTGTTCTTGCTGGTTTACCCGAGGATCATCAACAAGATCCTTATATTTTTCAGAACGTGGACAACCCTGACGCTGTTGCAGTATTAGGTATTCAGTATCAACCGTTAGCTGATATATTTACTTTTCGCGTGCAGGATATAGATGTAATTAAATCTTGGACCAAGCGTGTAGTACTTTCGACTGTAGCCAGGATATATGATCCTAATGGATGGTTAGCTCCAGTTGTTTTTTGGGCAAAATGTTTTATACAAAAGCTTTGGTTACAAGGATTAACATGGGATGCCCCTTTAGTAGGTGAATTGTTAAGTGTTTGGGTTAGGTTTGTTTCGTCCCTTCCTGAAATTCAATTCATTAAAATTTATAGATCTTTATTGCCACCAGGGAAATGCACAGTAGATATTCATGGTTTTTGTGATGCATCGGAAAGTGGTTATGCTGCTGCAGTTTATATTCGTTCTGTCAATAAATCTGGTGTTGTAACGGTTAAACTGGTAATGGCAAAAAGTAAGGTTGCACCGGTAAGAACACGCTTAACAATTCCTAAATTAGAGTTATCAGGTGCTGTTCTATTGACACGTTTGATAAACCATGTTAAATCCATTTTTGGCCAAAATATGAATATCCAGAAGTGTTTTGCTTGGACTGATAGTCAGATAGTTCTTGCATGGTTGCAAGAGTCAGTTCATGTTCTGGAAGTATTCGTGGCCAATCGGGTTTGTCAAATTCAGCAATCTGTTGTGACATTAGATTGGAGGCATGTACCGGAAGCACTTAATCCGGCAGACTGTGCAACTCGAGGTTGTGAGGCTCCAGTAATATTAGACCATCCCTTGTGGTGGGCTCCAGATTGGCTGTACCAACCCGAGAGTTGCTGGCCTCACAATAAAACGGAACTTGTTGAGCCTATTCCGGGATTAAGAGTTATTTCTCTTGTCGTTCAGGAATCGGTAAGAAATTTAGACCTGTTACTCACAAGGTTTAGTTCATTAGACAAATTGATCGGAGTGACCGCCTGGATTAGGAGGTTTATTTATAATTCAAGGAATCCAACAATTAAGAATATGTCAAATGTATTATCACCAGATGAAAGGAATGAATCCTTATTGTTCTGGGTTCGTTATATCCAAGCCAAGCATTTTGAAACAGTTTTTGCTACTCTAAAAGGACAAGGTAAACTAAAAGGATCTATTGCTCGGCTGAATCCGTTTATAGATGATAGGGGTTTGTTACGCGTAGATGGAAGATTACGCCACTCAGAACTACCTTATCATCATAAACATCCGCTTCTGCTTCCTAATCGAACTCTTTTGGGAGATTTGATTATTACTGACAGACACGAAAAGAATGCACATGTTGGTTTAAATTCACTTTTGGCTATTATTCACCAACAATATTGGATTTTGTCAGCCAGGAGGGCTATTCGAAATGTTATTTTTAAGTGTATTCCTTGTTATCGACTTAAAGCATCTTTGACTTAACCTAAAATGGGAGATTTGCCTCCAGATCGGATTACCGCTGCTAGACCTTTCTCAGGTGTAGGCACCGATTTTGCTGGACCATTTTCCATCAAGGTTTCATCAATACGAAACGCCAAGATCATAAAAGGGTACCTCTGTGTTTTTGTCTGCCTTGTTACAAAATCTGTACACCTAGAGGTGGTGTCATCACTCAGTACTGAAGCTTTTATTGCTTGTTTGTCTCGTTTTGTCAGTCATCGAGGGTTACCAAGTTTGATTCGGTCCGACTGCGGGACAAATTTTAAGGGAAGCGAACGTTACCTTGGGGAAGTTAATAAGTTTTTGACTGAAAACCAAATGCCTATTGAAAATTCACTTTCTCGTCGTGGTATTAAATGGAAATTTAGTCCAGCAGGCTATCCATCTTGGGGTGGAATATTTGAGGCTGTAGTTAAGGTGGCCAAAACTCATCTTCGACGAATTATAGGGGAATCAGTTCTTACCTTCGAAGAACTAGCAACGGTATTTTGTAACATTGAAGCTGTAATGAACTCACGCCCACTTTGCCCTATATCTTCGGACCCAAATGACCTAGAAGTTTTAACTCCTGGACATTTTTTGATTGGGGGTCCTCTCAATGCGTTACCTGAATATCCATGTATGGACACACAGATAAATCGGCTCTCACGTTTCGACCTGCTACAACAACTATCTCAAAGTTTTTGGAAACGTTTTAATTTAGAATATCTCCATTTATTGCAGAAGCGGGTTCGTTGGTTAGACAAAACGGATCCGCCTAGGGTTGGGGACTTGGTCCTTATCAAAGAACCAAATATGCCACCATTATCTTGGAGACGTGGTCGCATTATACTTTTTGTTAATTATAGTTGATTATAGATACGTCCACTATTTAGAATATTATAGTGAGTGTTTAGTGCGTGTTTAAGAACTATTGTGAGGCAAGGTATCAATCACCATCAGTCTAACCTCTTTTTGTGCCAATACTAAAACTAATCCCAAATCCTTACGGCTGATAATATTGTGTGCCTATCTTCCTGTAAGGAGACATTGACGAGGTATGTACTCAGGACTTATTATTTTAATATGAATTGTGTATCGGCGGCCACCGAACCGTTCGTTGTGGTACAATGTGTATGGCGGTCATGTTGCAAAAAAAAACACAGTTCGTTTTTGGTTCCAACGTTTTCGTTCTGGAAATTTCGACCTGCAGAACAAGCCCCGTGGACGGCCTGAGACCCAAGTTGATAATGAAGTATTGAAGGCTATTATGGAAGCGGATCCATCGCAAACCACGTCCGAGTTAGCTGCAGGCTGCGGTGTTAGTGATAAAACTGTTTTAATTCACTTGAAGCAAATTGGGTAGATTAAAAAGTTTGAAAGATGGGTACCTTACGAATTGACTGAAGCAAACCGGCAAACGCGCGTCGACTGCTGCGTTACATTACTGAACCGGCACAATAATGAAGGTATTTTAAACCGAATCATTACCTGTGATGAAAAATGGATTCTTTACGATAATCGGAAGCGCCATCCAGCCAGCCAGCCAAATCCTGCCCCAAGCGAAAATTAACCCCAAAAAAGTTACTTGTAAGCGTTTGGTGGACTAGTGCCGGTATTATTCATTGCAGTTTTCTCAAATCTGGCCAGACTATTACGCCTGATGTCTATTGTCAGCAATTGCAAACCATGATGGAAAAGCTAGCGGCTAAACAACCTAGGCTGGTCAATCGCTCCACGCCACTGCTACTTCACGACAACGCTAGACCACACACTGCACAACAGACGGCTACCAAATTAGAAGAGCTTTAATTGGAATATCGCCTGCAGACGTACAGATTAGTACAAATGAAGACACTACACCTACAAAAAAAGGGAAAAAAAGACCACTGAATAAAGAAAAATGGAAAAAAAACATTACTAAACAGTTAAGAAATGCAGGACAGTCCTACGAATCAAAAGCATCACAAAAAACTGTTCCGCCCCGTCAACTAAGAGAAACCTGTAAGGAAACCTGTATTTTCAAGTGCCAATAAAACTTTTCCGAAGAACAACGCCGTGAAATACTAAAAGATTACTGGAATTTAGGAGAGATCGAGAAGCAATGGAGTTTCATTGCTGCATCCGTTGAAGAAGCCATTCCAGCAAATCGTTATGTCAAACTCGATGATGAAGGACAGGTTATTAAACCAAAGCGAACTAATTATGCTTTTAATTTGATTTCGAAGGGGAAGAAATATAGAGTATGCAAGGTGTTTTTCAAAAATACGCTTTGTATCAATAATCGCCCAATAACGACTGCATTAAGCAAGAAAAATAAGGAAACAAATATTTCATTGATGACAGATAACCGTGGACGACATGGAAAGCAACCAAAAATCGACAATAATATTAAAGAAGGGGCCAAGCAGTTCATAGATTCAATACCCAAAATTGAATCTCACTATACACGAGCCCATTCAAGAAGAACCTTCATTGATGGAAGCAAAAGCATTGCTGATCTGCACCATGATTACGTCGAAATCTGTAAGGAAAAGAAAGTTCCTTTCATCAACTATGTAATGTTTTACCGTATTTTTACTCAAGAGCACAACATATCTTTTTTTACCCCAAAAAAAGATATGTGTGTGTTAAATATCTATCAAAATAATGATTCTGTTCTACTAGCGACATCTAGTTGTATATAAAGTAAGGACTGCTTTCTGGGTCTATGTATGATCGAATAAAACTAGTCTGTGACGAGCACTTGTAGTTTCAATAGGTTATGGGCCCAGTCCCGGTTTTAAATGTAAAAAAGTAATAGTTTTACGGCGTGAAATGGCTGGAAGTTATATTGTGAATGTTCCAAAACTTAGGGGTCGTGAAAATTACGACGAGTGGGCGTTTGCGGCAGAAAATTTCTTAATTTTGGAAGGTGTCGACATCAACAAGAAAGATGACGGCGATGGCGGAACATTTACCGTTGTTGACGATCAAAAGGCAAAAGCAAAATTGGTGATGACAATAGATTCGTCGTTGTACGTGCATATAAAGAGTGAAAAAACTGTTTTGAGTGTATGGAAAAAACTCAAGTCACTATTCGACGACTCGGGTTTTACACGCAGCATTAGCCTACTAAGAAATTTGATTTCTATTCGTCTCGAGAACAGTGAGTCAATGACGGCTTATGTTACGCAGCTCATCGATACGGCGCAAAAATTAAGAGGTACTGGCTTCGAAATAAACGAAGAATGGATCGAATCGTTACTGTTGGCGGGTTTATCCGACAAATTTTCGCCTATGATAATGGCGATAGAACATTCGGGGTTAGCTATTTCCGCTGACGTCATAAAAACGAAACTGTTGGACATGAGTGATAATGTTGGCAGCAGTGAGTCAGAAAGCGCATTTTTATCGTCAAAAGGTTGGCAGCACAGTAAACGGAACAAAGTTGGCAGAACTGTAGAAACGTCATCTCGACCTGTTAAACAGATTAAATGCTATAGATGTAAACAAACTGGCCATTATAAAAACCAATGTCCACAAATTAAGGAAAAACAAGTAAATGCTTTCAGTGCAGTATTTCTAAATGGCAGTTTTGATAAACGTGAATGGTACATCGACTCCGGTGCAAGTAGCCACATAATGATCAGCCAAGAAAACATAAATAATGTATCACATAACCTTACTACAAAGGAGATTATAGTTGCAAACAAAACAACTATGCCAGTGTTGTGCTCAGGAGATACACAGATCACAACAGTTGTGAACAATAAGGAATATGATATTGTTGTTAAGGATGTGTTATGTATTCCCAATGTCACCACAAACCTATTGTCTGTCAGTCAGCTGATAAAGCATGGTAACAAAGTCAGTTTTCAGCGTGAATGTTGTTACATCAGGAATCAGCAGAATGAACTGATTGGTATAGCACAGTTAGTGAATGGGGTCTACAAGTTGAACACCAGGTCTGTATGTTTGTTCGCAGCTACAGCAACACCAACATCAGATATGATATGGCACAGAAGCCTTGGCCATATTAATAGCAAAGATATGAATGACATGAGAAATGGCGCTGTCGAAGGTTTGGAGTTTGAAAAAAAAACAGAGATCAGCAAGTTCAATTGTACAGTGTGCTGTGAAGGAAAACAAACCAGATTACCATTTCCACATAGCAACCACAGGAGTGAGCATGTCCTTGAGAAGATACATGCAGATGTGTGTGGACCAATGGAGACTAAGTCAATAGGTTATTCCAGGTATTTTTTGTTTTTTGTGGATGATTTCAGCAGGATGTCATTTGTCTATTTTTTGCAGAATAAAAGTGAAGTCTACTCCTATTTTAAAGAGTTCAAAGCCATGGTTGAAAAACAGATGAATTGTAGTATAAAAGTGTTACGAACAGATAATGGCACAGAATTTTGTTCAAATGAAATGAGAAATTATTTGAAACAATGTGGCATAATTCATCAGAGAACCAACCCCTACAACACCCCAGAACAAAATGGGATGTGTGAAAGATTTAATCGCACAATTGTGGAACGAGCCAGATGCTTACTCTATGATACTAAGTTCAAGAAGAAGTTTTGGGCTGAAGCAGTTCACACAGCAGTGTATTTAAAAAATAGAAGGGTTGGGTGTGATATCAATGCGTTGGAATTTGATGATACTGATTATGCAGGAGTCTCGGGGACCCTTGATTGGAACACCTCCAAGTGATTTTAGTTGCCGGAAATGCGTCAAAGTATTTAAAAAAAAATTTTTTGTGAAATGTATTGAAATTTATAAACAATCCGCCATTATCTAACTACTTTTCTATTGGTTATAAGTGATGTGTCATTCTCGTTTTCTAATTGGTTATAAGTGATGTGACATTTTCGGTAAATTAATCGGATCGATTATTTTCTCATTTGTTATTTTTAAAGTTGAACCTAATCGAATCGATTATTTCCTCATTTGTTAATTTTATAGTTGAACCTAATTTAAGCATTACTTGTCAAATGTACATACATTACATTAACTTCATGTTTTAATTAATGTATGGTTCCGAAAATTATTAAATCATTCAAAAAGTACCCAAAACCGAATCAGAGCACCCCACTATCCACGTGGTCTTGTCTGCCGTACCCCTAGAGTGTATATAAATAATCGGAGGCGCGGAGGAAGAGCAGCCCCCACCCGCTGTAAAATGCCTGTGCTTTGGTACGCAAGGGTGGAGGGGCTGCATTTCCCGTAGCGCCGGAGCTGTCCAAAAAAACAAATATTATTTAGATGGGTTAGGTTAGGTTAGTATATGAATATTTGGTCGCCGAAGGCGACCAGGACGCCGAGAAGCCGAGGCTTGAATAAACAATTATTATTTAGATCGGAGCTGTCCACAAAAACAAATATTATTTAGATCGGTTAAGTTATATAAATATAAGGCTATATTAATATACTAACCGTATATTAATATTTTTTTTAAATAACTGTTCAACTGAAACTCGAAATCGAATACAAAATCGGATTCAAAATCGATTTTCACTTTCACAGAATAGATTATTTTTCACATCCCTATTCATTTTATAAAGTATAAACGCAATCGGCCATTTCGAATGTGGATTTTGCCAGAACAGTGTGTGTTCACAGTGATCAAGTGCAAAATATAAGTTAAAAAGCCGTTACTTTTTAGGTTTTTTTATTTTGCGTGAATGTGCGTTATTTTATTAGCATTTTTTTAAAACTTGGCTTTATATACATACTAGACACTGATTTCTTGCGATCATTTTCAGATTTCGTGTAATGGCGTCTAAAAATAGTGGACATGGGTGTGGTACTGAACCTGAACCGTCTACAAGCACAACGCTTGCTAGACCGGCTTTTGAGGACGATCATCATCTTAGGTTAGTATATTAAAATTTTTTTAAAATAACCTGTGTGAACAGTGATAAAGTGCAAAATATCCGTTAAAAAGCCGTTACTTTTTACGTGAATGTGCGTTATTTTATTAGCATTTTTTAAAACTTGGCTTTACATACATACTAGACACTGATTTCTTGCGATCATTTTCAGATTAAGTACTGAACCTGAGCCGTCTACTAGCACTACGCTTAATAGACCGGCTTTTGAGGACGATGGGTCCTTGGACGATCGTCATCTCTTTAAAGATGAAATTCTGAAAATGTGGAATTTAACTAAAGTAAATAAAACTTTAGGCAATAACGAGCAGTGTGTGGCATTTGCTGAAGAACATGGTAAGTGGGTTTCCCCAGGTAAAAAAAAAAAAAAAAATTTAATTTTTGTTTCCGGCGCGCAAAATTTGTGGGGGGTGATTACTACACCCCTCCCCCCCCCTCCTCCTCCCCCCGCAACCCCAAATTTGGGCGCATCGTTTTCGAATCGTTACCAAATAGAACAATAGCCTCTGGGCTGAACCAAAAAACTCCTTATGAACTTTGGACTGGCTGTAAACCAAATGTTCGTCATATAAGAGTGTTTGGAAGCACAGTTATGGCCCACATTCCTAAAGAGAAAAGGGTTAAGTGGGATAAAAAAGCAGAAAAACATTATTTAGTTGGGTTTGATGAAAATGTGAAAGGGTACCGGCTGTATAACCCCAAAACTAATAAGGTTATAACAAGTAGGGATGTCACTATCATTGAACAGGACAATTCAGAAATGATGGAAGCTATAATAAATGAAAACAAGTCATATTCTGATAGTGTTGACCAGCTTACTGATTCTGATGGCTCAGACTCTGAACTATCAACTAGTACAGTGAAGAGTAACAATAATGACCATACATACATAGAAGAAGAATCTAACTTAAACAATAGTACTTCAGATGATTTTTTTGACAGTGTACCAGTAAGGGAGTTAAAAAATTTACAGAATATAAAACCAGATAAGGTCACAAGAGATAGAAAAAAGCCTGATAGGTTTGGTTACAGCAATGTGTGTATTGAAACAGATACAGATCCATGTGGAGACCATTTAATAACGTATGAAGAGGCTTTAAATGGTCTAGAATCAAAGGAATGGTATAAAGCTATGCAGGAGGAATTGCAATCATTTAGAAAAAATGAAGCTTGGGAAGTGGTGGACAGGCCAAAGCAAGCTACAGTGGTTAAGTGTAAGTGGGTGTTAAAGAAAAAAGTGGACAGTGATGATAACATAAGATATCATGCTCGGTTAGTTGCTAAAGGTTTTACACAGAAAGCAGGAATAGACTATACCGAAACTTTTTTCCCAGTGGTTCGTCACGCAACAATAAGACTATTGTTTGCATTAAGTGTTAAATATAACCTAGATATAACTCACTTTGATGTTACCACAGCATTTTTAAATGGGCATTTAAATGAAAATGTATACATGTGTTTACCTGAGAATTTTGAATGTCATGATAGGGAGAACAAAGTGTTAAAATTAAAGAGCGCAATCTATGGATTGAAACAATCAGCTAGGGCATGGTATAAGCGTGTAGATGATTGTTTACAATCTTTTGCATATAAAAAGTCAGTGTATGAACCTTGTTTATTTATTAAACAACATAATACTACCAGAACATATATAGCTTTGTTTGTAGATGATTTTTTTATTTTTTCTAATTGTAAAAGAGAAACTGAATGTCTTAAGATTGAATTAAAATCTAAATTTAAATTAAAAGACTTGGGAGACATTAGACAGTGCTTGGGTATGAGGGTCAGAAGAAAAAAAGATGAGATTTTTGTAGACCAGGAACAATTTGTTGATCATTTGTTGAATAAGTTTAATATGAAAAATTGTAAACCAGTCAGTACACCGATGGAGGTAAATTTAAAGCTTAAAAAGGGAGACACTTGTTGTACTCACCATGATGTATCCTTACCAGCAATTAATAGGAAGTTTGCTTTATTTATCAATGTTAACCAGTCCTGATATATTTTATTCTGTTTGTTACCTAAGTCAGTTTAATAATAATTATAATGAAACACATTGGAACCATGTAAAACGTGTTTTAAAGTACTTGCAAAAAACAAAACATTTTGGTTTAAAATATGTCAAGGATGATTTAGATTTAATAGGCTATGCTGATGCTGATTGGGCATCAGATTGTGTGGACCGTAAGTCTTATACAGGTTTTATGTTTAAGATGTCTGGTAGTGTCATCTCATTTGAATGCAAAAAACAATTAACAATAGCTTTGTCTAGCACAGAAGCTATAAGACTAGACTATACTAGAAGTATAGGGCTATATGTGAGGCAAGTAAAGAAGCCATTTATTTAAGGAACTTGTTAATAGAATTGAAATGCAGAAATGAGTCACCTATACTATTATATAATGACAACCAAAGTGCACAATTGTTAACTAAACATAGTTTATTCCATAAAAGAAGCAAGCATATTGATGTTAGATTTCATTTTGTTAGAACAGCTGTTGAAAATAATTTTATTGCAATAGAGTACTTAAATACAAATGATATGCCAGCAGATATATTAATAAAAAGTTTATGTTGCCAAAAACATTATAATTTTGTTAAACAGTTAGGTGTCACTCCATTGTAGAATGAAATTTGTTCACTTTACTGTGTTACTTGCTTACTTGTGTTATATGTCAATTATTTTGATAAGGGAGTGTGTTAAATATCTATGAAAATAATGATTCTGTTCTACTAGCGACATCTAGTTGTATATAAAGTAAGGACTGCTTTCTGAGTCTATGTATGATCGAATAAAACTAGTCTGTGACGAGCACTTGTAGTTTCAATAGTGTGACATATGCGAAGCGTTCAAAAATTCATCACCCGAAGAAAAAGAAGCCAAAAAGGACGCTTATGAAAAACATCATGAAGAGAAGAGACTATCACGTTTAGAAAAAGAAAAACGAAGAACTGACAGTATGCGTATATGACTTGCAAGCAGTATTTCAGTGTCCAAAAGGTGAGATATCCGTCTTTTACTACAAATCAAAATTGAATGTACTCAATCTCACACTATATGACGTCCAGAAGAATACTGTAGAATGTTATGTATGGGATGAAGCAAATGCAAGCAGAGGTGTGAACGAAATAGGTACGTGTGTATTTAAGTATCTCGAGCAGATATCAAACGGTACTGATATGAATGTAGTATTTTATTCTGATAACTGTGCTGGACAACAAAAAAACAAATTTATGGTAGCCATGTACCTTTTTGCGGTTCAGAAATTTCCAAATATAAAGTCAATAACACACAAATATTTAATCAGAGGACATACCCAAAATGAAGGGGATTCGGCACACTCACAAATCGAAAGACAAGTGCGAAGAGAATTGCGACGAGGACCTATGTACACGTCCGATGCATTCATCAGTGCTATCAAACCTGATCGTTAAAAGAGAGTGCCATTCCGAGTGAACGAAATGTGCTTTGAAGATTTTTATGATTGGAAGAATGTATGCACTCAAATGTCTTTTGCAATACAAAAAGATGACGAAAACGTTCCAGTCAAAATCAGTGAAGTCAAGATTATAAAAGTCATAAAGGATGATGCTCGGGCAATTTATTACAAAAACTCATATGCAGAAGAGGAGTTTAAAAGAGCAATAATCATAAAGAAGAAAAAAGACTGATATTGAGGTTAAAAAAGCCTACACAACTAAACCCGGACTAGCTGAAAGAAAGAAGGCTGATCTAATGGAACTGATTAACAAAAACCACATTCCGAGGTACTACAGACCTTTTTACGAGTCTTTGTAGATCTAAGTGTTAAATTTTTTTATTTAATTAACTCAGATTAGATAATTGTTAAGTGAACTATGAATTCAGAAATGCCTTTGAACTTTGTGCCATTAAAAAGCAATAATAATAATAACGTTATGTTCCTAATATTTTAAGATTAGAGGATAATCTTTGTACTAAATGATTAACTGTCTGTGATTTGTTTTGCTAAGATGTTTATTTCATTTATGTAAGACTTAATTTATGTAAGATTAGTTTCCTAATATTATTACTGAGATAAGCATAGGCTTGTGATGTTTATGCTAATATGGCATTCCTAAATATGTAATGACGTTATAATTGCTATATTATATAATAATATTTTTTAATGTGACTATTGCGTCTCGTATTTCAGCGAAAGTTACACAATAACTTCGCTAAAATATCTTTCATTTTGAAAAACAGAATACAAAAATAAAGAGATTTCTACGAAAGTAACGTGTCTCAATTAAAATGTTCTATGCATTTAGATTACAGTTTATCAATAAAAACGTTACAATACGACATAACTTTTAAAGGTTCAGATTTTTTTTCAAGAAAAACGGTATACGTCTGTTTGTTTCGCAACACTGCAAAATTTTTGCAAGAATAACGCAACAAGGAGGACCCTTTTTTAAATAAATAATCATAATAAATTTAACAACTGACTTAAATGTCTGAATGCAATTTGATCCAAAAAACGAAAACCTTGGAAGTTATGCTGTATTGGGCTGAATAGTTTGAACATGATAATTAAAAAGTTACAATAATTTTAAACTATCAAATGCATTTTATCACAAATTGAGATTTTGACTTTGTCACGTTCTTGTCGCAAATGAGCGATATATTCTGTATACGATTCATTATCTCTATAGAATGATAATATTTGAGATGATAAATCCACGCCGTTAATTATAAATAAATATATTAATTTTAACTAATATTCTTTAAATTGTAAAATAAGATTTTTAACCTATGTATTGATACAATATCTCTATAGCGATCCGGCGGTAATGCGAGTGGGGCCAAGGGCGCGGCCTGTCAGGCTTCAGAAGACGAGTCTTCGTTATCCGCCTCTCTTATGCTCGTGAAGAAAGATGTCAAAGCTTTAAGCATAACCGCTGAAAAAAAAACAATTTGAGTTCGATATTTATATGATGTAAATAGAATGTAATTACAATATTATATTCGTTCAAACACTAACGAATATCCTTGTTACAAATTATAATAAGAATCGAATCCCTAAGGCCTGAGTCATAGCATTAAGTCGACATCACAATCTACCCTAACTTAACCAATAATTTAAAAATAACTAAATTTACTAAAAAAGGGATAAGCTTTGTTCTTGTGTACTAAATATTTTTTACCTTTTCCCTCCGGCTCCATCTCTGAAGTCTCCCATGCAATAAATCCATCCACAGATATTACGTATTGCTCATGCAGATATTGGAAAATATCTAATGTTAAACCTGAAACAAATATCATTTTAGTCAATTGTAGGAATTGGAATTAAATGTGCTTCAAGAAATTTTTAAATCTGATATTGATTTAAAATAGGGTTTTTGTTAATAATTTTTGAAATGAAAGATTTGCCTGGATATATTTTAATATGTTCTATTATTCATATATATATATAAACAAATCAGTGGCGCTACCTTTTCAGATCTGGGTCTCAGATTTCTGTACCTGTTTCATAATCGTTCGTAAGGCAAGGCAGTTTCTAATAGGCCGGTAGACGATCAGCCTCCTGTGCTGTGCTTTTTGAATCTAAAGCGACGTTTCCTCACGATGTTTACTTTCACCGTTCGAGCGTTAAATGCGCAAATAGACAGAAGGTCTATCGGGGCAGTCGGGGATCGAACCTACGAACTCGAGGATAAGAGGCTCGCCGAAATGAATTCAAAGTTACCTTGAGGGTGTTCCAGCCGATGAATGAGCTGCTGAATACCGAAGAGGCAAGCCGCTTCTCGTTGTGCCTGCGAGTCTCCATAATCACCGATTAAGGGCGAATACTTATTCATGCGATCGTGACTCAAATGCGGCGTCGGAGTCGGTTCGGGGCCGAAGAGGGCGTGTTCGCATATCGCTTGCGTCAGACAACGTAAGAACCACTCTTCACCGGTAGAGGCGCCAATGTTGTCCTGTAATTGTTATTCGTGTTCACTAAACTTCGTTAGACCGAAATATGATATTTGTTTATTATAAATGTGATATTAAATGAATTGCCAAGTTGATATTTGAATCCCGTGACAGACTGCGCAAGTGAATTGAAGAAAACTTAATGCCTTTGATACAATTCGAACACAGTCTTAAATGAATACTTTGGAATATTTATATTTAGTACTTTTAGGCACATGAAGGTAAACGCAATAATAATAATTAATATTAGCGTCACGAAGACGAGGGTAAAAAATTTATCAAAGAAAAGAGAGAGCGATGGAGACCGATCGAGAGAGAACGAGAAGGGCGAATTACTTTATATTCTATTTTAAAATTAAAATTTCGTAAAGAGAATTTATGAAATATTAGTATTTTAAATTTTATGCAAAATAATTTATTGAAATCTCTTTTGACGAAATATAAATTAAAATGCCACGTACTTTAATTATACTTTAGTGACAATTAAATTAATTAAATTCCTATTATATTGTACTTTTTGTCTCGGAAATCTAAAGTTTTAGATTTGTATAAATATAAGCAAGACTTAAAAGTTAGTTTGCCAAGTTTCACTTCTTATTCTTATTCACTTTTTTTTTTATTATTAATATCTGTTCAACTTTAACAGTAGCTAAATAGCTAAGTTGGGGTGACACCTGGTGTGTGACAACAATTTACCTTAACCCATCCTCTAAGGCAATCACAGCTTTCATCGCTATTCATTAGTTGAAGCAACTTGCTCTGCATCTCACAAGGAGTCATGATCCGTTTTGTGTCTTCATTAAATATCTCTGAATCGTCAGAGCTCTCGAGAAACTCAAAGTGGTTGTCCGACATCCACTTCGGTATCTGTAAAAAGTTAATAAATTAATTAAAGTCCTACAACTATATATCCCTATGTTTTGATAGTACTTAGCTCTATATTTAAATTAGAATTACCATGTCAGAATTCATCCATTGTTGCAATTGTAAGCCTGATTCCAGCCACTTGTTCCTAGTGAATGTTTTGCCCATACTTTCCTTAAGTTCAGCTAAAACACATTTTAGAAACGAGTGTCCATGGTTCACTGAAATCAGGCCGCTCGAAACCTTGTGAACCTGGACAAACGTAACATGCTGCAAAAAAAAACATTTATTTTTTATAGAAACAAAGTTTATAACCGGCAGCATACCCACAAATTAGTCCCAGAATTGTAATATGTATTCAATATAAACTTACTTTCTTTTCTATAAGGGGAGCAATAAATTTTCCTAAGTACGAGTACAGCATCGGTATGTCTATGTATAGATCTGGACCACATTCAAATATTTCTGCCATTCCACTCATTAAATTATCTCTGGAAATTGCCCCACAACTGACTACATGCGTCACTGATTTTGCCAGAATTGAAATATCTTTAGCGTTCCTGAAATTATAATTAAAGTATAATATTAAGTTAAAGTACACGTTTGCAGCTTTGAATATTGACGGTAAACATTTGTTATCAGCGTCTATAATAATAATAGTTCGTAATTAATATTTTTACTTGTTTTTAAAGAAAAATTTACTGTTAAAAACATATTAAACATGTTATAAAATATACTTCATTTTCACAGGCAAATCCAAAGGTTATCGATAAAAATGTACTCAAGATAAATAATATTCCACTTACTTCTCAAGCGCAACATTAAGTATTTCTGTTATCACTGTCGCGTGGTATTGTGGAGCGAAGAGCTTGATCTCTTCAGCTAGTTCATTATTGTCAAGGTTCATGATACACAGGTCGACCAACTGCTTGATGAATTTTCTTCGGTCCTCTGGAAGAGGTTCTTGAACGGCAGGCGGGGGCAAAGGTTGGGCGGGCATCGGTGGTGCTTCAGACTGCAGTGAGGGCGAGGGTGTAGACGTAGGCCTAACCCCTCCAGTGGAACCGGAGCGACCGCCGGTTGCTAAAGTTAACGATTGTATTACATTTAAGGCTAAAGTAAGTACACGGCAATAGTACATATTTATAAAAAAAACGTAAAGCTGTGAGATCTTGACCTGAGTTAAAAATTACAGTGGAAATCTGGGGCCAAAGAAAACTTTAATTTGTGAAGTAATACTTTATCTATATAACTTTGTAGAAATTGTACTAGCTCGGTTTAGCACCCATTTCTACACTTTAATTTACGAGACGGGGCAAATTTTTCGGAAATCGCCTTTACGAAAAAGTCAAGACTCATAATAAATATATGTGAAAAAAGGAAAGGAGATGAAGGATAAACTTCATCATATGAACTATAGAAGACCCATTAATAATAATAAAACTTTGAATACAATTTAAGCATATCATAATAATTATTGTATTAATAAAGTGAAAGACAAAAAAATCACTCACGGTTTAGGCCAACTAAGAAAAGAAATTCATGTTAAAAAAGTTATAGCATATGAAGAATCATTTATAGTTTTCCAAAAAGCATTTTAGGAGTCTTATTATTTTATCATCAATATTGTAAAGAGCAAAAAAAAGCTTTACTTACCGAAATCAGAGCGAGAATTGAAAGTGGATCTATCTATTGACTTTGATTGTTGATAAGCAGCAGGTGAAAGTTCCTTGTTACCTATAAACCGAGAAACAAATCAATGGAATATATTTTTTTAACTTTGCTAAGCTAATATAATGAAGTAATTCTTGAAATTATACATTTCGCCTACATTCTGAAATGTCATAAAAATTTAAATTCTTTCTTCGTACACTTTGACAGTGATCATGGGAAGATTGATAATTAATATATTGTCGTAAGCTATAATTTAGAATAAAAACACATAATTTGCTTATACATATACAGTAATGCACACATAGCAAATAATAAAGATATTTTAATAGCAACATATACTTCAGTGAGATGGAAATATGTAAGAAAAACAATGTACCTCTTAGTGTAGTCGGGTCGACCTGTACATTCTCTAGAATACTGTACATATTCTTGACAGGTGCAACCGTTTGAGTCTTTGCTCCCGATCCTTGGTTCCATGCAATGTTGTGAGGAGCCAATTTAATTGTACTTAAGTTCTGTAAACAATATTTTATACATTAAAGCTTGTAGTGTTAATAACTGTTGAGCTTAATAAGGCTTGTAATTCAAGTATCGGGTAGAAAAACCCTTGTGAAACAGCCCAAATGGATTCATAATCTGAAGCGCAGAAATAGCATAGAAATTACATACTATAATAATGCATTGTTTGAGGCTACAGCTTAAGGAGTCAGTAAATTTACACTAGTTATTATCTGTATAAAAAATGATTTTTAGTACATTATTTTCTTCACTAGGCACAGAAGGCTCGACATCTTGCTTGCCTTTCAAAAGAATGGTTAAAAACCATCTAAAAATCTGAGGCCAACTCCAAGGGCTGTCGCACAACAGTTTAGTGGAGTAGTACAAAACACTACTAATATAAGTATGTCGTTATTGGTTTTAGGTAGGAGACTAACCAACACAAACAACTTTAACTAGAACTGTTTAGATACACTCAAATACAGTAAATTTTATAAGGAAAAATCAATTGTCTAGTATAATATTGATTCAATTTTTATTTTTTTAATCCTTACCTTTTGCGGCGGCATGGCCTTCAATTTGGTTGTGTCAACAACATAGCTGGTTCTTGTCGCTGTAGTCTTCCACGTATTATCCATAAAGTTATTGCCCTGCCTTCGGCCTTCGCCCCCACGTTTTCTTCCACTACCGCTGTCATCACGTCGGAATCCACCACCGATGGGCGAATTCATCAACTGTAAAAAGAGATGATTAATTTATTAATTAAAGATGGTATAATACCACTATCCACACTCACAAATAGACATATATTTTAGATTGATTTTTCTAAAACCAAAACTCGGACACAAGGGAAACTCTTAATTTTGTTTTAAGTTGACATTTTTAATATAGACATCAATTTGATTATGAAAATGAACAATAACTAAAATTTAGAAGTAAATAGACTTGAGAATAAATGGCTCTTAATTATTTGTTTAGTGGAGCATAAAACTAAAAAGTTACCTCAATATGTCTCTGTTGTTGTTCAGCCTCCTTCTGAATCTGGTCCATCATCTTGGGTTGCGAATCAATAACATTCTTGGCTACCCATTTTCGTCTTCTTAGTTCAATTACATCCTATAAAAAAATATTTATTAAACATTCACTCAAAGAATAACCATTCCTACACAAACAACTGATGAAGATTAATAAAATAATAAATTTTACAGTAGTAGAAGTATTTAGCTTTTAACAATGCTTTACATATAATTTGTTTAAATAGAGAAGATTAATCTTTTACTTCGTAAAGTACTGATTTTTAAATAAACATGACACTAAGTGCAATGTGCTCTAATGCCTGAAGACGTAGATTTGATTCCCGACAGTGCACCAATGTACGTTCTGTCGTTATGAAGTAGTCATTTGTACAATCAGCATTACCTGTATCATAAAACGCACACGACTGCTAATCTTATTACTCTTGCGATCATTAACAATGTCTTGCATTTTGTCCATTATGGTGTCGAGCTGATCCTTCACCTCACCCTCCACTTGCTCCCCGATAGTGGTCAGAAGCTTACAGAGACATTCGAGTTTTTCCTCTTCCGGCTTATCAATCAGGTAATTCATACAATATACCATAATTTTCGATATCAATATTTTTAGCTTGTATAATTCACCTGAAAATAAACATTGAATATTTACTAAACATTCTGTGCAGTATACAAATTTATTTAATTTAATTCGCTAGTTAATAAATAAATCATTTTGGAATAGGATATTTGTAATATCTAAGCATTTTTCAATATGGGTATTATACATCCTCCAGCCATGCTTCAAATATATGATTGACACAGATATACGCAATAAACGCAAGCTTTGTACGTCAAAGTCAGCAGTTCGCAATTCTAATATGGGCAATTCTAAGTTTTCGCATAATCTCCGACTAAATATAGTAATAATTTAATTTTGTCGTTAGTGTTACGTCAGGACGTAAATCTTCTTAAAATATTCAATGTCTTTTGCTTCGTGATAGGTCTGATATAGCTTTAATAACTTTTAAAGGGTAAATTTAATGAAGGCTGCCACACTCATACCGAACTGTAGTTCTCATAATTATCATTAATTCACTGTATCCCTGTCAGGCCTCGACTACACCCTCCAAAATCCGGCATTTCTTTATAACAAAACACGATTCAAAAAGCCTTCCAAATAATGCAATTTGCAAGCAGTTCAGTAATTTCGACCTCAACTTTTTAAAATATTTACGAATTTCACACATGTCCTATTCCAATCGACTTATCGACAACTAAGCCTCAAACGGGAATTCTTTTAGTATTTTCACAATTTCTGGTTAGTTTTCAAGGTTTCATTAAACTGATTTTCATGTTATCTATACAATTGCACTGGCAGATTAAAATGCATGAAAGCAAATTAAAAAGCATAAAAGCAAAATAAAACAATCGCAGTTGCACAATAAATAAATATTTCAAATTGCTGATTTGTTTTTCTGTATGTTCACGAAAATCTCAGAACCCAAAAGGGTATCAGCATCAGGAAATGACAAACACTTAGCACAATGTTTAGTTATACCTGTGTCAATCATAACGGCATAAAACGAAAAGTGTTCTTTAAAGCATAAAATTAAACTAATTTCTATACTGGAGATACTTTGAAACGATCTTCATGAATATATCAAAGCTGCACATGATACATGGAAACCTAGGATTCCATAGTGCACTTTCTCTGTTAACTGAACATCCTTTTTTATTATTCGTAATAGGTTTTTTTAAACACAAAAGCTTCAATAATTTTTCGAGTTTTGTCAAAAATATTTTAATGCCTATGAAATCGATGTTTTCCCCGTTAAGAAAATAAATTAATTTATTTTTATATTAATATTCTATGAGCAAAGTATGTAAGGAATTTGAGTAAATTTTATAATTTGATTCAATATAATAAACAATAAATAGGCTGTCTTATATACATACCTATAAACCTGACATTTCCAACTGACCGCATGCGAATTCGGCGTTGAACTTCTGCGAGTTGTAAATGTAGCTCCCTTTTCTTAGTCTGTAAGTTAAGTTTCATGTATATATTAACCTCACAAAAAATTCAATTTAACCATTGATTTTTCAACTTCTAAAGTTTTCGTTGAAGAAATTTGCGTTCCACCTAGAAATCGAACCCAATACTCCAAGAGTGTAGCTTTTTCGTTAATTACTCTAGGACTGCCAAATCCATTTAACAAAATTTATTATAAAAATTCAAAAATCATTATTTAATAGTACTGTGTAAACTCTTTATAATGACACCCGTTAAAAATAAAGAAATCTCTCTATAACAACAAAATTAGTTAAATTTATTAGGTTAACCCAATACCCACACATTAATTATTCCCTCCCTATAACGAAACCTATTTATAACGAATAGAAATGATCGGTCCGTTGAAATTCGTTATAAAGAGTTTATACAGTATTTACAAAAAATAAATTAATAAATAATGAAATACTTACGGCGTCATTGGACTCTGCTATCTCTGCCTCAAGTTTGAGAACGTGTTCGTCCGTCTTCTCTTTAATAAATTGATTTTGACATTTGCTAATTATCATCGCACGGAAGTTCACACATTGTTCGGGTGAATTTGTTGACGGTACCTGATATAATACATAATAACAATTTTTGGTATTTATATTTCGATTCAGTCACCAAAACCACGGTGAAAGGATTATTAAATCTGGACGAACATTTTTCGATTTTATTATTTTCCTCAATGTAAAAAGTTTGGAAAATCCAAAAGTGCACGCCTCATAGCGGTCATTCACATTTAAAAAAAAATCTAAAACAAAAACTCAAGTTTTTTAAAACAAAATAACAAAAAAAAAAAAAATGAAAATGAATGATTGAAAAAAACAATAATATAATAAAAAAATATATAGTGGCGCCATAACTCTAAGGTGAGGAAAAAAAAATATACTAAAATAAATGTATATATATAGATATACATTTATACAGTCGTATTTTAGTTTTTTATAAATTATAATTAAACGACAGTACTTAGAACGCTAATATTAACTAGGAATCAGCCCAGGGTATAACTTTATATAATAAGAAAAAAAGTGATCTGGTACGATAAATTTTTCGACCAATTTCTCTGCCACATACATGGATCCATAAACACAGACTGACGGACGTCCAAGAATGATTGATTTTAATGTTATTATTTACTATGTTAAACAAAATAATTGTTCATAAAAAATACCATATGTGTTTGATAGATTATTTAACTCGATTTTAGTGCACTCATATTATCCTGTAAGTGTTATATTAGTGAGAAAAAGGTTTTTTGACATGTCGAGAGTAGAGCACTGCGAGGCGTGCAAAACGATTAAACGACAAAGTTATCTACACTTTACTACCCCTTGATATATAAGTTAAGTTTTTAAAACCCTACAATCACATTAATAAATATCATCTTATTTCAATAATGTTTTAATTTACATATAGACATCATACGGTATCTGAGTCTTTTAATACAGGCTGTCAAATATAAAATGACGTCCTACCCATTGTCGATTTTCATTACTCTTTGTAAAGCTTTCTTAAAAAAAATACTTATAACAAGTTTTTTCGCTTCAAAGATAGCAGCAATGTTAATATAAAAATAAATATTCAGAAATTCAAATTTAATTTTTTTAAATATATAATTTCGGATACCAATCATGAAATAAAACTAATCAGCGTTTTGTACCGTTTAGTTATAATTAATATCATAAGCTATTTACTATTAGACGGTGCTGTCCATACATTTATAGACAAATTCTTGAATTAGTTTAATTATTGTTAATTAAACTAATGTAGCAAAAGAACCAAACTGACGATTTAAACATATAGGGCCCATTAACCACGAAAAAAAAACTAAAACCTATTATAATAGTTATACTAAATTTACTAATTTAAAGCAATAATTCCTTAATAATATATTATTTGTATGAAAATTATACTATAAAGATGCGCTACCGTACAAGAATGTTTAGTAAAGTATGATTTTTGATCGATGTTTATGCGCCACATAACTCTTAAAGTACTTTACAGATTTAAGATGGCTTACATCATTGTGCGTAATTTTTATTTAAAATCGATAAATTAAATTAAATCTCAACATTACTGCTTCGTTTGATTTTATCGATAGATAACTTCGATGTATAAGTTTGGTCCAGCAGAAAACAGTTTTAACGAATTAAAAAAAATAGTCCAAATCAAGTTTTCGCAATTCCAATAATATGTATCAATTTATTTATCCAAAACATTGTTATTTCAACCCAAGATATAAAAGAAAACAACATAATGTAATAATATGATAATAGTATTCTCATTTCATGAAAGTCAATATTGACCAGCAGACACGTAAGTACCAATTGCAATATCTTACGTCATTGTTTGGGTCTCTTTTGCTTTTGAATAATTCAATAAATCTTTATGTCTCGAATCTTTGCAAGTACATGTAGTCGCTATTCAATGATTGGCAACCTCGCCTAGGCATCAGGCCGTAAGAAAACATTTCGAATAATTAGGTAAATATTTGTTATTTTGATACAGCTTCCGACATCCAACCTCAAAATTTGTAATTACCACACGAGATTTACGGCTATTTACTTTAATTGTCTTTGTTATTAGAGAGGCGCTGAGACTTGCCGAAGACGGGATTGGAGGAAAGTAACAAGAACTTGAGTAATGAAGAACACGACTAAAGACAGAAGATATTCCTAACAGTTAACACCACGTACCTTTAATGTCGAAAGCTTGTTACACATAGCAGCATATGCTTCGGAAAAGTTCGGCTCATCGATAGCCTTCTCGAAAACGAGATCTATTACGCCTTCGAGACGCTCTTGTGTGTCAATTTCGAGTGACTTCACTTTGTCGACCAAAGTATCAAACTTCTGCGGCGTCAATTTGTTGAGTATACCACGGAACTTCTTGTACAGCTCCTGTATATAAATATATATTACAAACGACATTTATCTTTCGCGGGGAATCGAACCCAGGATTGTCCGTAGTTGACAGCTAAGCCAGGAAGGCGGAAACTTAAATCGATACCAAACTTTTAAAGTCATTGTTTTTTTCAAGTTTTGGTTTGAAAGTGATTTCCGTAAATTCTAAGTGTCATAATATTTTTTAGGGCTCTAGAAAAAGGTGGATAGAAGATATAGAAGCGTTAGCAGGAAGCGAATGGAGGAAAACCATGGATAGAGATTTTTGGAAAAAGCTGTGAGGCTAATTCTAAATATTCTAAATTATTCTACATGCATTATTTATGAAGATTGAAAATAGACGTGCTTTATCATTAAATGACATCATTGAAGATAAAACTTTTTGAAGTTATACTTCTTTAGGCGCGTGATGAAAAATTGGTGAGAGTGAAATTTTACGATGCGCGCGCGCGTGACACAAAATTATCAGTATGGGCGCCGAGCGAGCGCGAGCGAGATGGGAATAAGACAATCTACAAATAAAAAGAAATAGAATATGCGTGACGTTAGCAAATATGCCAAGAATTTTGAATGACCATAATGACCTTTGTAGTACCTTTTAAACAAATAAAGGAGTTTTAATTATTGAAGTTGTACTTCTTTAGGCGCGTTATGAAAAATTGATGAGAGTGAAATTTTACGATTGCGCGCGCACCTATGACACAAAATTGGCAGTGTGATATAGCGTGCGCGAGCGAGATGGGAATAAGACAAACTACAAGTAAAAAGAAATAGAATATGCGTGAAGCTAACTTCACGCATATTCTAGCTTAGCAGCTTAACAAGAATTTTGAATGACCATGACAATTGACAATGACATTTACCTTTTAAACAAATATAGGAGTTTTAATTATTGTTTAAATTTTAAAATTAATAATTATATACCTAGTTATTTTCATTATACAAAATATTTGTGAAATAATATAAAATATTTGTGAAAAAACTGTGCTAACCTTCCTGAGTGCTTCAATACAATTGAGGTTAACTATCCGTATGTATTATCGAGTATTATTGTTGATTAAAACTGAAACATGAACCATTATTCATTGCTTTTGTTTATTGCGTTTGTTACAGCAACTTTTTAGAAATATTCTACGACCCTATATATCAATAACTGAGAACAAAGATTTAATAAGCACGAATACTAATAAGGAGAAAATGAAGGCTTGGAGCGATATAACAGAGAAGTAAACATTTTAATAAGTACCTGCATCTCAAAAAAATGACCACATTATTTAATCAAAACATCAGATTTAATCTAGCAAATATAAGGACAAGAGACAAAAAACAATTGATGAATCAGTGGAAGTGCACTAAATTGAATACAAAAAAGAGTTGTCATCTTATCGCCGTGAAACATCAAAAACTGGAGGTGGAACAAAGCCACCATCACCTTCTCGAGACACAATGGTTTGAAGTAGATTTCAATGAATTTGATTGTGATGGTGTCGAGGTAGGAATGTTAATTATAAATATGATGTATGGTGATGTTCAAGGTTCAACCTTTCAAGCATAGGCATATGCTTACAACATTACTTTATTCCCCTACAGGGTAGTTAGAGATATTGTAATACCTCAAAACATCCTTGTTGCACTTGTAGTACCGAAACTCTGTCCTGCCAGAAGTGAGCCCATTCCCACTTATAATGGACAGTGGGTATAATACACCTTAATACCTGAGTGCGAACCACTCACCATGATACTTAAATTAATAGATGTTATTTATATATTTCAGGTTATTACAAATAAAATCATTTTGGAAACAATTGATATCCCAAAAGCAAATAAAGCCAACAATGACAAGGTAATAAATCAGTTTTGACATAACTTGAATACTAAAAAAGCCAAACAAAGGTGTGCACAACAGTGACAACATAACTTAACAATTTCATTATTTTGTAGGATTAAAGAAAGGTTAAAGAAAATCATGTCGAACTGAACAACAAGAATCCCCAAACAACTCCAAAGAAACCTACAAGGAAGACACCGGTATTATATTTAAATTATCTCTATCTCTAGATAGAATAAAAGAAAGTTGCTATCCAGGTCTGTAGCATGTGCTACAAATTATATTATTAACACATTTATATAATTATATTAATATAAATGTGTTAAAAAAATTTATAATATGAAAATTTTAAAAAAAAAAATTTTAAGGTTTTGCATGGACAGAGCTTAAATTAATATTCTCTTATTTGTTGCAGAAAGCAAGTAGTTTTGGAGAAGCCTCGTAGATGCACAACCAAGTAATGATTAATTTAAAATTACAAACCGAAATTCTGATGAAGACATTAGAGTCACTTAAAAATAAATAGTATAATGAAATAAAAATGTTTTAAAGATAAATAGTGTTTTATTTGTTTAATGTAAGAGAATAATAATAAATATTTATTTAATTAATTTTTCAAATGTAAACTGAACTTTATTGACTTTAATGACTCCTTTTCCAGTCTTTGATTATTTAATTGTAATTAATTATTTGCATGCAATCAAAAACTATTTTTAATAATGCCAAAGAAGTATAACTTCTTACGCGCGTACATAAGTACACGCACCCTTTTTTTTTTTTCAAAGAAATTTAGCAATGCTTTGCAACACGCACCCTTTTTTTTATAAAATGATACATAATGATAGGCTAAATTATATAAAAATGATAAATTAAATACCTGAGTTTTCAACTCCTGTTCATTCAAACTCTCTTTCTTTAGTCGAGTTGGTTTCCAAGCATCTTTACTCTCGTTCAGTTTCACTTCTTCACGGAGAGAAATATATGTATATATTTCTTCCCCTGCTGTTGCTCGATGGTGAACTAAGTTTCATGCTTCCTTTTCCTAAGATACGATCTATAAATACATTTTGAAGTGTACAACATTACCAATGATTTTACACAGGACGCAGGGAAAAATATTTTTTTTTTTTAATGCGCCTAATAACCATCACACTCAAATAATATAAATTTGTAAGAGACTTTATTACTCTTAGATCATTTCATAGATTATTATCATACAAATCCTTGAAATATTAAATAATTATTTCTTACCTGGGGGTGCTCCTACATTTCTAGTGTCTTTCTTGTTATCGCGAAGAATAGGACTTCTCATGTTACCGGGACTCATAGTCTTAAGGAATGTGGGGAATAGGGAGTCATTCGCTGGTCTATGAATATGATTGAATGACATAATTGTGTCCATTTGCACTGTCTGTAATATAGACAAAAAATTGAATTTTAGTTTAATTATAGTATAGAAGTGTTTATACTGCAGTAGCAAAGATAACTGCATAGACTGCAAGAATATTGCAAAATTGTTGCCAAAAATGTTTGTAACCTTTTCAGAAAAAGCCTTAATACACAAATTGGTTATAATTTTTATAAGACTGGGAACAAAAACACCTTAATAGTCATTTAATAAAGTATAGAAAATAGAATAGTTAATTCCACTACATTTGCATTGTTTAAAACCTACCCGTAGAAGATTGCAAGCCTCGAGCAGTGGTGAATTTGGTTTGTTCTTGCACAATGGATCATCTCTCATCTGCTTTAGTAGTGTTATATCATAAGTTTTCTGTCCATTAGGATTAAAGAAGACCATTGATCTAAAACAGATTAATAGAGTCAACACTAGAAACACTAAAAAAGAATATTAATTTTATTGATAATTTATATTATACTATATATTACTAACACATAGTTTAAGAATGCCATTTTATAGTATATATATTTTATATATACAATAAAATAAAGCATAGTATATATATTTTATGTAAGCAAAATTTAATTTACAATATATTTTTGAATCTATTCCCTAATTCCCTAACTTACAAGTAAATTTATATTTGTTGCAATTTTATCATATACCTTCACTGTATTTATGTTTGAGTGTAAATACAGGCACTGCTGGTTTAGTCAGTTCAGGCGTCACAGGTTCAGACGAGGGAATAACATCTGATTCTACTTCATTTAAATTATCAGTCTCATCTCTTCCATTTGAACAAGTCTCCTTGGCACTAGGCTCAGTGCCAGAATTCTTGTTTACTTCCACACTAGCATTTTTTTGCTTCTTTTTAGATGTCTTTGTGGGTTTCTCATTTTTATGCATGTCTTCTTTTACAGTCTCAGCTATCTCAGTAATATTACCATTTGCAACATCAGGATCTATCAAAAAAATCACATGTATTATGTTTAGTAAATAATATAAATAGATATAAAAAAGAAAATGACAATAAATACCTGGTGATGTATTATTGAAATTTATATCTTTCATTATAGTTTCAAGGTTATTTCTAGCAGCACTCACTATGCTCTGTGTGAGCTCGGCTTGGGCGAGACATACACTGTTCTCTTCTTCAAGAGTTTCAGGGCATGACACATATTCTTGAGCTACTTTTTCAATACTAGACAATAGTTGAGAGGCAGTAGGCGATTGTAATATAGGGAATGTCTCTTCGGTATTAACTATGAGTTCAACTTGTTTATTAGTTTCAGTCTCAAATGTTGTCTCTTGTTTCACTTCATTTTGTGTATCTAACTTAGTTTCAACTATGTGACTAGTATTGACAGGTTCTGATTGTTAGTTAACTGCATAATAAGTTATTAGTGAATATCACAAGAAAAAATATTTAAATCTATAACACAAAGAGAAACTAACCCATGTTATTGCCAAGCAGACAACAACAATAAAATGCTCATGGAGATTTGAAAACACAAAGACAACTGATCATAAACTATCCAGTCTAGACACTTATATATGTTCACAAGAAAATGAAAAGAATGAAACTAAAATATGTTGCTTTAAGAATAAGAAAAACATGTTATTGAGGCATATTTAAATTTCTTTGAATACATTTGCTTACAACAGACAGTAAACACAATGTAGAGACTCTGAAGGACGAAAATACCATGCAAAAAGAGGAAATATTATATATTATGATTACAAAATGATAGCATCAATAACAAGATAGGTATATTGCCGAAATATTTAACTCATAGAACCAATACTATAGTACATGTATATTAATTAACTAATACGAATAATAGTTGTGAAGCTTAAAAGCTCGATCCTTGCAAACAAAATTAGCGAGCGGTCAGAAAGTAGCTCTTTGTAGGTAGGACACAAATGCCAGGCTAATGTAAATCAGAAGTGTCGCAACTTGCCAGCCAGTTACAATAAACAGAAAACGATTGAAGAGAAAGAAATTAACATAAAAGTGCCCTGGGTATTTATTTTCTGTCACAACTATAACTTTTCAGTACCAAATTCGCACTCTAATAATAGAGACGAGTGATATTCACACGTGGGTGTTTTAAATTGTTCACTGTACTAACCTGGTTAATATATTTTATGAATTATGTGCACTGTTCATTAGATCATTTAAAAAATTTAACTTTTTAATTATAATACGGTAAAGTCGTAGTTGATTGCTAATTTATATAAATCATTGACGATACTGATAATAAATACTTATTTACAAAATTTTATAATAAAAAAACTAAGTCAATTCATAAAAATATTGAAAAACAATATCATGATTAACGCATGTTAAGATTAACAAGACCTGCTGTGACTAAATTAGCAGGCGCCATGTTGAAATATTCCAAACGCGACATATGACCTCAAGCACAGAGTACATATCGCTGTCTTGTGCGCAAGTCCGGAATTGATCGTCAGCCGTCGGCCGTCGCCCATCTTATTGTCGTATCATAACCCGTTCGTATATATAAATACCTATTTGTATATACTTGTTCGGAGTATAATTATATCAAATTAGTACAGCGTAATAATTATAAATTTGTTTAAATTAACGTAAACAAAATACAACAGCCAATATTGACTATGGTCTATGGTATATATAATCATTGTAAGGTTACATTGACAGTTAATACGTCAAATTATAAGCATACGTCATATTCATATTAGGTATATGATTTTTACCATTTGAAATTAGTGCAGAGAGCAGAGAAAATCTATTGCTAGATTAATCTTTAGAAATTACTTTAAGGGAAAGAGTTGAAAATTCCCGCACAATGAAAGTATGTTAAATATGTATCAAAATAATGATTCTGTTCTACTAGCGACATCTAGTTGTATATAAAGAAAGTACTGCTTTGTGGGTCTATGTATGATCGAATAAAACTAGTCTCAGGGTGAGATCTATAGAGCGCACTTAGGGTGAGATCTATAGAGCGGACTTAGACTTTGCTCTGACTTAACTATCGAGTTAAGACACAGTCGGTATTTATAGAGCAAACTGCGAATCTCTCCGAGTGTTGGCTTAGCTTAATCTCAAGTCCACGAAATCGACGACTTACCAAAAACTTTGACTATAATAAGCCTAACAAAAATAATGGCCCAAAATTTGCTTTACCATCATATCTTTTACTGGACTTTTTATTTTTGTTATGAACGGTGTTGCCATTTTATATCGGAGTTCCATAGACTTTGGGAAAAATAGAATTTGAATTCAAAGAAATGGTAAATGATCTTGATAAATACCTATGAAATACATGAAATGAAATAATTACACATTATTTTGGTATTTATTGTTGTTTATTTATATTATTTATGTAAGTGTTCAAACCCCATTTTTGAGAAATCTTAAAAATAACTGGTGTGATATTGTATGTCACCTGGCAGCCCTGGCATATTATGTTGACAACAAAATTCAAACTAGTCTATAACAATTAACAGCTTAATCGACTTCGTCTCTCGCTTCACATCTGTTATTTTCGTTTGCCTGAATCTTCAAACTTGTATAACCTGACCACAATAAAAAAATTGAGATAGAAGTGGAACATATGAAATTAAAAAATCAGTTAGAAATAGAAATTCTTCAACAAAATTATAAATTAGAATTAAAAATTTTACGGTAAAAAAAGAATCAGAAAATAAATGATTAAAATGAAACAAGTTTTGTTATGATATTTTTTATTACCAAACCAATTACCTAGTTAAATTGTGCGATCTTTCATTGTTTCTGTATTCTTCAACTTCTGGTATCTGATCAGCAAGCAAATTATTTAACAATTAAGCATTCCCTCTTTGTATACCTATATTATGCAATACAGCACACGCTATAATACTAAAAGTGGTGTTAACATGAAGTTAAGTGCTGGATAACCGCTGTCACCTACTAAAACTCCTTCTAGTTCACCATTTAGCAGTCTTGCATACGCCTGGCAGTTTCTAAATATCCTGCTGTTGTGTGAACTGCCAGGCCACCTAGTCACTATATCAAATATTTCCATATCAGGCCCTCTTATTGCTTGCACATTTACAGAAAAATACCCTTTTCTATTTCTGTATGCTTCAGAGTGGGTGATACCTTTGGTTCTATAAATTTTGATATGGGTGCAGTCAATAGCTCCGATTATATTGTTTAGGCCATTGTGAGTATTAGATCTAAAGTAATATACTCAACTCTGCAGAGTTTTTTACTTATAAAGCTTATGCTGTTCAGATCACCACGCACCATCTGTAATGTCAATGAATTATTATTAGTTACATATATGTTATGTTTCTGAAAGTCAGAAGACAAATGTATTTAAAATCATTTTAGAATACATAGGTATAATATATCAAATCGAAAAACTATACATATATATGAACACAATATTACCTGAAAACGTGCAGTTGCATAAAAGCTTAATGCAATAAGTATTTGCAATTACGGTAGAATTGGCGATCCTCGGTTGTTAAAGGTTGCAATTTTGTAATGATCAGCGGCAGGATCACATTTAATACCGTGTTTTTTCTTTTGAATTCATTCTCACCGTACAGCTCGAAAGTCATTTCGGTTGTATTCGTTCCGAACATATACTTTAGGCATTCGTGGATTCATATCGGCTGCAGTTCCTACCCTTTCAATGTTTTCTATTGAAGATAGAACTCTCTCTCTCTATCATGTCACTTTCGATATTGATATTTCCAAGCGGTCCATGTAACAAAGCCAAATCACAAAACGTCACAGTGCGCTTCGGGAATGCGTAGGTCTTAAGTAGGTATACGATCCAGATTGGTCCAGGTCCAAGTCACAAAGCCAGTCGTTGTTTTAAAGAAAGATCAAATATAATAGATATAATAGTAAAAACATTGAGGGTACCTAGGCAAAGTCAAAGTCGCCTCGACATAATTTTTGTGATTAAAAATAGAATAAGTGCATAAAAAGGTTCAATAAAGGAATTAAAATAAACTAAGCTATCGCCTACAACATATATCGTGTGGAAGCAAGCAAAGATATATGTATACTGTAATTATTCAGTTGTGAAATTTTTTTGATTAACCGTCATACCTCGTTGGGAATAATTGGTCATCATTCTTCGTTGTCTGAGTCATATCATAAGAACTATAGTGAAAGTGAAGTGTCGTCTGTTTTAGAAGTGAATTGTGATAATCAATACTTTGATTATAAGACGTAAGAACATTTTTGAATAACTTAAGCTGTGTTATGTACAATTTATTCGCAACATTTGTCGGCAACTGATTGGCACCTGTCCATAGATAGCTCTTTGGTATCTTGATCTGAAGTGTAATAAGGA